GTTGCCGGCTGGGCAGGCTCAAACCACGACAATGGGGCAAGAGAAGGAGCCAGACTAAACACCTCGAGGTCCTCACATTTTCTATGAAGAGCTGAGGAGTCAGGCCACGTGTTCCCTTAGTCACTGTAAGGATTTACGATGAGTAGCTCAGTGGAGGTCAGGGATTTTGTCATCTGCTGTACTGCAGTTCAAAGCAGCCAAGATAGATGAAGGACAGAGACAGGCTGACCCCCATACATAACCGAACATGTCACTACCTCGTCAAGGTGGGCAACTTCTCTGCATTAGTACGCTCAGTCTTTCAGGTCCAAAGCAATTACATCAAACTCAATTTATTGTTTCACCTTCCCCCAGGCGCTTATTTACCTGTGGAAGACACTTCTGTGCAGCAGCATCCAATTGCCGCAACAGGCCTGAGTAAAATTTAGTCCCAGTACAAGACAAAATTACCCTTCAAATACAAACTCTGTCTGAGTTGAAAAGCACACTTACTTTTTGATCTCCTCCTCTACTGCATTCACCCCTTCTGTTTGAGGATTCTGGAATTTGTTAGTAGCACTCCCAAAGTCACACAGGACATAGTGGCCACGATCGTGTAGCAGGATGTTTTCAACCTACGAGCATCACAGACAAATACAGAATTGTTCAGACAAAAACCCATTCTTTTTCTTCAGAGGAGCCAGGGTTTTTAGTGCCTGAAGACATACTAGACATGTCTGACACAAAAACATAACATGACAGCAAAGAAAACACGCATCAAACCTCTGTCACATCTCCTAAAGGAGAAGTCAAATCGTGGAAGCATCGTTGTAACACTGCCTTCCCTCCTGCCACCTCTCCTTTCTCCTTTTGAAAGCACATGGCCTTGCCTCCACTAAGACTCCTATGTGCTTCAGGACAAGGACGGTGTCCTGGTGTCTCTAGTGCTCAACCTCCCTGAGCTACTATGACCCCCAGTCTGGCATCTGAACTTGGGACAGCTAACACAAGCTGTCCACAGCTTTACAAAGGGGTACAACTCCTCGCTGCCTAGTGGGGCTGAAAGGAGGCAAACGCGTGACAGCACGCACACTTCCGTACTTTATGAAACCATAATAAATCTCCAGTTCTTTGCCTGCATTTCACCTGTCACTTTGGGTCTCATTCAAAACAAACTTCAGCTTATGCTCACACTTCAGGTGCTTGTTATCAAACGTGCTGGGTACCCCATGCTCCCTAAACAGTGGTTCTATCAGCAGAGGTTCCTCCAGGCTGCTGAGATGACCCCTTTCTTTCAAACATTATTTGGTAGCTTGAATCAGACAACAAACAAATGCTGAAACAAACACCTGGGATAGCTGAAAAGAAAAACACATAAAATCAGCAGAGTCACTGCCTTTCCCCTAAATATTCACACTTAATCATGCATTAACAAAAATCTAGCTTGCATCCTCCTAAGAAACTGTCTAAATGTTTCGACACTGACATAAGATGTGGAAAAACCTGGGTTCAGTTCTTTGCTTTGGCAGAGCATCCCTGTATTCCAGCTCCTCATCTGTACAGTGGCATTAACAGCATGTTCTCTCCAGGGAGCTCACACAATTTTTAATGTATTTATCGTCAATCATTGTCAAATGCTCGGATACAACGAGATAAAACATGCTGCTCGTATATTTAAAAAAAAACCCACACAACTGTTTGCTAACAAAATCTTTTGGAAGTAGAGCTCCCCATCAAGGATGATCTTTACAAGAAGGAAAGAAAAAGGAGGAGTCAGCATTTTAAGCATCAGAAAACGCAGCCAAATTAGAGCAGCTGAAGGGGGAAATGCTGGCTTGAAACCAAGGGTTAAACAACACCCCTTCCCCCCTCTGCTAGCCATCTGCTTTGAATAAAGCATTGCACACAGATGTTCTCCCCAGCAGATCAACACTGACAGTGTTATTCCCTATTCCCTGCAAATACTCGTCAAACATTTCCAGAAGAATCCTTCCGCTTTATCTGGCCAAGAAGTCTGACGTGACTTCTCACTGAAACATCCTGAGAGTTTTAATGTGCATCAGCACTGGACTATCCAGCAACAGCCTTGTTCAGGAACTTCCAGGAAAAAAAAAAAAGAAAAGTACCTGAATTACTGCTACTGACTGCCAGGCTAGAGAAAACTGTCTTTTAAAAAAAAGTATGGAAGTGCCTTCTTCCACCCAAACACTCACAGCTGCAATCCAGTTTTCAGCACTGCTGAGCACTTGCAACGCCGGCTGCACTCTTTGACATGCCCGACACTTAAAGTGAGATGTAGAGACACCCCCCCACTCCCCCCAAAAATCTTTAAGGGAAACTATGAATTGCCTTAAGTTTTGTTAGTTACAGAACGTAGTTAGCTTCCGCCTTTACTCTCTGAAACAAATGCCTTTCTTCGCTAAAACCAGAAGTCCAGTTGTAAAAACACTGCACAGACACATCCTGGCGAGGGAGGAGGAGTAAGGCTTTCTCTAACTAGCAAAATCAGCACGCGTTATCCTCTCGTGAGACCAATGGCTTCTGAGGCCGGTACTTCTAAGTTCAGGCAGCAATTCGGGAGGGGTGCATGACCAAGGCACGCTTTCCGACTGCTCTCCAGCACCTTCAGGTCTCCATAGAGAGGTTTCAACACCCCTTCCTCCCCTGGCAGCATTCACTATTTATTTGTGAAAGCTTAGTTAGTACTTTATAGCAAAGAAACGAATGCAACGTGACATCTAAGAGCACTAACTGATTTTGGCACAGGCATATTCTTCACATGGTCAACACCAGGGTTTACCATGAGAGGACTGACCCATTTTACATATGGCACTCTGAACACAGATCCATCCAAACAAATTCCAGCCAAAGGCTTGTTGGTGGCATCAGGGCAAGGCTTGGCATTACAAAGAAGGGTGATGGAAGGCAGAGAGATAACAGCAGCACAGCGTGACTGTCTTATCGCACCACAGAGAAGTGCAACGCTGGGAGGACTCCAGCTAAAATGAAAGCAGAAGAAACCGAATCCTTAACATGAGAGCTGGTTATTTCAGAAAGCAGGGAAAGGAAAGGAGAAAGAGGTCTTGATCAACAGCATCCTCTGGGTTGACTGTCACAGTATTTTGGTGCATCCTGCTGTGTGTCTACTACAAGAAAAATCAGCCGCTCATCTGCAAGCCAGTCATCTACTCCTGGAAGCAGATGGGCTCAGACTAGCAGAAGCACCACAGGTAGAAGTGAGAGACCCCTCACTGCAGAAAGCGCCGAGCTGTAGAAATCAAAGTTGTCTCTCGGCTGGTGCTTTGAACACCACGTGTTATAGGATGCAAGACTGGAAATATAAGGTTAAATATAAAACAAGTTATGCAAACAACTGCCACGAGATATAGAGTAGCTGTATAAATCGTTACCATCAGCCCTAAATACATTTTCCCCTCCATCCACCTGACTAAACCCTGCTCCTCTGGGGTCTGACAGTTAAGAGTTTCTCTACACAGAAGCAGAGACTTCACAGCCAGGGTAATATAACAGCCAAAAGAAGGTTTGGCCATTTGTTCTTTGCTGTTAAAAGGCCTAACAAAGATACAGGAATTGTTCTTATTCCAGAAAGAGGAGAACAAAAGTAATTTATGGAATGCCCTGCAGCAGCAATGGCCTATGAATGCTGAGGCGAAGAAGATATCTGTGAGAAAAAGCAAAGGTAAGCTTGCAAGGCAAGCCTACTGCCAGTAGGCTTACGCTGCCTCCACAGGGGTCCTCGCTAGGGCAGAGGCTGTACATGAGGGGCTTCCTAACTTTTAGGAAAAAGCAGCATCAACATACGCCTGGTTTTGTGGCAGTCAATCGCAGCGCATGAAACTAAACCTCACAGCCCGTACAGCACATCACGCAGGCGTAGGGACACACGGACAGACTGACACAGCACCTGAGAGCGAACCATCCCATCGGGAAGGAAAACCGTAAGCACACGCAGGGATGACACGCCATCTTTTTGGTGGTCTTTATTCGCTGGCAGATGCCCACTGTTGCCTGTCGGCACGCTGCTTAAAGGTGCTGCTGTCCCTGCTGTTGGTCACTTCCCACCAGTTGGAGATTGTGCCAACAGGAGGTTGTTCTGCTTCAGGCAAAGCCTGTTGGGTTAATTCAACACTCACAGCCACAGGCCGCTGAAACTAATCCAGCTGCGTTCGTCTGAAAGGGCTTAAAGACTGTTCACACAATCCCTTCTGCTGGCAGAGCTCTCTGGGCAGGAACCTCCAGCATCAGAGCGACATCAAAGAGCTGGAAGGCAAAAAACGCCTCCGATCCCCATGCAGCTGGCTGCAAAGTCCACATCTGCCCACTCTTCAACAGGGTTATGCTCACCCCAGGGAAACACCCACCCAATGGATGCCTTTCCTTACACTCAGAACTTGTACAAAACTTCTCAGGCCCTTAATCTCTCTCGGAATTGCAGTTCCTCCCTGGCAAATTATTAAATTTGAACGCAAATAAAATCAAAACATATCTAAATCATTAATTCTGTGTTAGTACTCAGATCCCCAAGCGTGACTGGAGCTCCAGAGGTCATCATGACAGAAATAATACAATATTCAACTGGCAAACACACCTCAAAGCACAGAAGAGCCAACTCTCCGACCTCAGGCACAGCTTACCAACCAAGAGCCAGGCCTTGCAAAAACTTTACTGATCTAAGCACGCAGCAGCAGGCTGGACATCAGACCGTAACAGTCCATTTCAAATGCAGCTCAGTGTAGAAAGTAACGCTCACGATCAACTCACTAATCCGTCACAGATGTCCCAGAATTTATTCACATGCCACACAATGAGTTTGTCCTTTATTTAAAAACCCCCAGGGATTCACCAAAAAGGTAACAGCAGGGGTTAATATCGACTGGAGAAGTTCCTGTTGCTCAGCCTCATCCTCTCACCCCAGTTTTCCTTGCCTATACAAACTCCTGCGAGATGCCCGCAGACCTTAACAGGTTTAATTGTTAGAAGACTCCACCCGTTTCACTCTAGAAAAATGTCAGACTTGTTTCATGTATTCAAACTGACCGAGCAGGGGGGTCACCATCATTTGAAACACGCTTCTGAAGCACACTGAACCCTGAGGACTTTTCCCCCTTGTGCTATCTGGCTCTCGTGGGCACGTGTGGCACCTTTTGCTCCTACAAAACAACGGCCAGCGGCACAAAACAAACATCTGTTGAGGGCTCTGAACACAGAGCCTGACCCACAAAGCACATCTGAATTTCAAATGTACACAGGAGCCTCCTTCTTGGCTGAATACATTATTCGAGCATTTTACAAGCTAGTTGAGAGGAAAGAGAACATCTTTTTGTTTGTTTGATTATAGGCATGGGACTTTTCAAAAGCTCTCCCTGCTGGCCTAGCTCTTTCCCAGCTAAGCACACAGAGTTTTACAATGCACTTTCGTGGTAAACAGAGTGTTAGAGGCCAGTTTCAAAAGCTCCTAAGGACTCCTGCCCCAAGGCCAACATCTCTGGAGGGAACCCTTTAATGTGGGTCCAGGAAGCAAATTTACAGCGTGCTTTTTGTGAACTACCTTATAACATCAACAGTGTTTCAGGTGGTAGAAAGGCACCATAAATAATTCATCAAATACATCCTGGCACATCTCCTGTGTGAAACAGAATTATTCACAAACATTTGTGTTTTTTAAGTAGATCTATAGATGGTAAACATATGGTAAGCAGCAATGAGAGGCTCATTTCTTTTTTATCTTCCAATAGAGAGAGGTATTTATGCCCACTTTTTCTCATTAATAACCACAGAAACACAGTACCGGTATTCAAAGCCCGTCTGCCATGGCGTAGGCAGCAAACAGACACGTTAAGGAGGATGCACACTCCCTGCTGTATTACTGGAGACCACAACTCACCTTCAAATCCCTGTGGATTATCGGCGTTTTACACTGATGCAACCTGGCTACGGCTTCGCAGGTGTCGCAGAAGATCTGCAGGACCTCGTTCTCCGTGAACCCTGTCTGCAGGCGTTGGTTCATGAGGTTCACCACTTGACCTCCTGAGGAGAAACAAACACCAAGAATCAGAGCGTGCAAGATGAGGTCTGGCCTGGCCTAAGCCCCAGTCCTGTCAGACATCACTTGTCTGAGTCTGCTCCCCATCGAGCTGCGGCCGTACAGTCAGCGCACAAGAAGTTCACGAGTTCAAATTCACAATTCGCACCAAGCCTTCCCCGGAGGCTTTCTGCAACCTGCTTACTCATCGTGCTTCATTCTCATTTCCTCGCCTCAATCCCAGGGTGTTCTGCATACCTGCCAGCAGGCGTTACATCTCATCTGGTCTTTGAGCCACGCTCCGAGAGCGGCAGGCTAGCTCCCCAGGCCTACCTTCACCTGCCTGTGGGGACGCTCGAATGTAACTCTGACTGCACCACGTCTTTTTCTCTCTTCTTCAAATAGTTAGAGGAATAAAAGGCTGAATTTGGTGCACCCACAAAATAGTTTGCCACCCGTAAGCAAGAGGAAGGAGAAAGGGAGACACTCAAAAACCCCACACGTAAGTGGTTTGGCTAAAGTCATGACTGGCAAAAAAAAAAAAAAAAAAAAAATTCTAAAATCCACCTGTAACAACAGAAATTCCAGACAAACAAAAGCAAGTTTTCATGAATGAGTCCTGAATTCGCCTCAACTTTGGGGTTTTGTTGCTGTCAAGGCCTTTCCAAAACAATCCACGCAGAGGTTCTTCCCCCCTCCAAACACCCTACACAGACAGAGAAGAAACTCCTTTCTGAAGCTTTGGCAAAGCCAAACGGTATCATTTCACAAGTGTTGGAAAACTTATTTTCATGGTACAAAAGAACAGCTCAGCTTAATAAATCGTCCAGCTGTGAACTCAAAGCGAGTGCAGTTCTGCACACAAAGACACACTGATTTGGTCTGGAAACTGTTTGACACAAAAGGAAAATAACAAAGGAAAATCCAATGTATAACAGCAATTCCTGTGCTTCAGTCTGAACGCTGGAGACAGAGGCAGGCATGTGCTGAGCGGAGCACTGGGTAAAAGCAAGCCACAGGAGAAACACCACCTTGCAGCTCTCCTCCTTTCAGATGGAAGGAAACACCTCAGAAAGATGGATTTTACTTCATCAGCCCCAAATTTGGCACAGAGGGAGCCTAATGCAGCTGGAGGGAGTGCATTCCGAATTGCCACAGTCTGCACTTCCCTCTGCACTGGGGTCTGCAATGTGGAGCTGAGTCTGGATTTACCAGCACTGCCAGGCCTACTTCTTACAACGCTCCTTGAGATATTCAGGTTTAAGCTTACAGAAAGCTAACGTAATGATTCCTCCAGCAAAACCGCACATAAGGTTCTTCCTTTTACCAGCAAACGAACCCAATGCCAGTTAGTCGAGACTCCTGCACCAAAACGAAGCAGCAAAGAGGGCACAGCAGAACAGAAAGCTGTACCGTACGAGTTTAAAGGCATTTTAGCATCCAGTTGTTCTTGCTACCATGCACCTGGCTTCAGTTAAAAGCCAAACAGTCCCAAAAATACCTATTTCCATCAGCCGCCACCATCCAAAACAGCCACAGACTTCTGAAGTCACCTGGACAAAACATTATTTTTGCTTAACACTATTCCTGCAAGAGGTCCTTTGAGCGCAGCACATCCGTCATTTTCCAAACACCACCTCCTAGCCACAAGAGATCAAAGCTTTGGGACAGCTGGAAAAGACTGGAAGAGCCTGTCTGGCTAGAGACAGCCAAGCAAAAAGGTCAGAGGTAAAAGGAATACTTTTTGGCTTCACATGATCCTTTTCAAGCTTCCTCCAGAACAATCCTAAATCAGGCTGAAGTGGAAAAAACCTTGCAATACGACATAAAGCGAAGCAGAATTTCATTCCACAGCCTAGCAGCTTTAGAAGAGCCACCCCTTGGGTGGGCCAGCCCACGGAAAACAGCAATATACATTTAAGTGTTCTCCTTCACAACAGGAAGGATCGAGGACCACCCTGGGCAGGGGCAAAGGCAGTACCAATCCCATTACAGCATCAACACAGCCCCACGTTATCATCCACTTCTCCACACCTAGTCTTGGCTTTGCTTTGCTCAGAACGGTGCCTTGGTAGCCAAGGAAGGGCAAAGGAATAGGTTGGTTTGTTTGTTTGTTTGTTTTTTAAACAAAGATGTTGTACAACTTTCCCATAAGTGCTGAAAAGGGACAAATCCACCAATGAACAATACGTTGAGCCCACGCTCACCTCGACAGAAATCCATCAGTATCAGCACTTCCCACACGTCGCCGCTGCTTACTGAGTTTATACTGGAATCGATGTATCCGACAATATTCTTGTGGCCGGACAGGTCCCGCTGCAAGATAAATAAATTCCAAGCATAAACCAACCATATAGAGCGAGTAACATTTTTATCTGGTGGTTCGACACTGTGCAGCTTTCCTAGCTCTCCTCCTGCCTAGGTGCAAGCTTCTGTCACTTCAGAATAATCGTCACGCAAAACGCCTCTACCTGTTTTCCTTCCAGAAGGATTTGAGACAAACAGCAGGGAAACAGCCATCCTTTTTTTACTAACTGGTCCAGATTTTTGCATGTTCCCTTAGATGGCCCAGGCCAAGCTCCTCCTTTACGCAGAGGGGAGAACAAGGCAGATGTTTCATGGTGGCCATGCGCTGTACGTCTTCTGCTTACTTTCCTCACCTCCTTCCACTCTTCTGCTGGCAAACAGCGTCCCAAATCTTCGCATGCTCAGAAAAAACCACTAAGGTAATAAAATAAATTTTAACCTTGCTTTCAGAAGTACCTTATTTTAAGTAACTCAAGGGATTAAAGCACAAGTTCCCGTAGCAATGCCTTATCCATGACACATGCTAAACCTGCAGGGAAAAGGCATTTCTTTGGGACGGCCAGCTTCAGGTGTGACAGCCGGTCCAGTTCAATGTTCAGCTTCACCAGTAAAAGAAATCAAGATTCTGCTGGCCACATTCTGCTGTAATGCTGTAGGGTTGCAAAAAGTGCCATTAAGTTTAAAATACGGCTTTATCACGCAAAAGCTAGGGAAGAAGAAAATATGTCCTTTTAGTGACGTACCGGTTCTTCAAGGCAGAGGTTAGCGCTTACAGAAAGATTCAGTACCAGAACAAGCGGACCTGCCGAGGAAGGACACTTGTTGCCCTTGCTTTCCAGGTCAGCCACACATTTTGAAGAGACACCAAAGACACGGAGACAACCGAAAGCACCAGCAAGTAAAATCCAAGTAAACAAGCTTTGTGAGCACAGCTAAAACCTTTGATGTTAAGATCTAATCTCAACTTTTCCCATGTAGCATTAGCTACAGCGATGACAAAGCATGCCCAAAAGCTTCACTGCGCTGTCGCACCAACTCCAGAAGTTAACCTTAAAGGTATTAACCTAATTAAAAGCTACTTCACAAAACACACCCGGAATTGCTACAGGTAAGAGCTTCTGATATGAAGATCATCTACCCAAACCTATACCTCGTCTTATAAATGAGCAGAATGAGGATTTTCCTTCCCCGCCTCACAGTTGCTCGAAATGTTCATCAGTATCTTTGAATACAACTTCAAAAGCAGCACTTTCCACGTTTACCAGGCTCCAAACAAGACCAAGCAAATCTATTTGGATCATCTCAGTTTTTTTCTTCGTTTACAGATGCTAAGTTTAAAACAGCCATTAAAAATAGTTATCCTATCATGTAACTCCTTGTACCCAATAATCCAGGAAATATCCCAGTGCTTATTATAAACACTTCCCTGTTTCAAAAGCCCAGGCAGGAACTACCCCACAAACACTGTTTTCAATCTATCAGCCTCACCAATACAGAGACAGCCTTCCTCCCAGCGCAGAAGATTAGAGGCTGTTGCGATACAAATTCATCTCAGGATGGAGCTCCTCCAGTCATGCACTGGTTTGAGTTCAGACAGGTACATCAGAATCACCAGCCTGTTCTGATGAAGTCTAAAAGGCTTAAGACTTTAGCCCTGGAGACGGTTAGACTTTGAAGTCTAACACACCAAGGATGCTCACCTCTTCAGCTCTTCCCTTTCCTATTAAGTCGTGGGTTGACACAGGAGTTCTTACTCCCCTCATTTTCCCGAGATTCCCTCTGCTTTTTCAGCTCCCATGTTTTTCTTGTCCACTGAAACTATTTACATTTTAAGTCATTCCACACGAGATTTTCATATAGTCGCGTAACTCCAGGAGTTAGGTCTTCCCAAAAGAAAGACAGTTTCACTACAGAAAACCCACAGTTTTCTACATGATGCTACGCAGATCACAGGCAGAAGGTGCCCAGGGTCTCACACAATTCCACTCCCAGTCTGGGACCCCAATACAAAGCGGTGACTTACCATGATCTGGATTTCTCTTTTGCAGACTTGCAAGTCGTACTCGTTATTGACGTACATCCGCTTCAGGGCACATTTCATCCCATTGTTAGTCCTCACAAGAAACACTATTGCAAATCCACCTGGAGAAGAGACAAAATCATCCTGTTCATTAACAAAGAACCCTCTTGGTCCTTGCTTCCGACCTGTCCCTGCCTCCATCTGCCTTCAGAGTACAGCCAGAAGAGGAAGGGCACTCAGCAGCTACCAGCAGAGCCATGGTGGGCGCGCCCCTTCCACGTCCTTAGCCCCAGAGCTTCCAGCTCCACCTAGAGAGTTATTTCTGGGAACTAAAAGGAATCCAAGGGGGCAAATCCACAGTTAATGGAAGCGAAGTTAACATTTAACATCTCCATAAAAACAAGCAATTACACCGGTTACTTGTCCTGCCAGGCAGTCCTTCAGTGCTCCATTAATTTCCATTTTGAAGAAGAAAGCTGAAGTACAAACAGCAACATTGCCTTGGACAGAAATCAGAGCTACAGATCACCCACTGAGTTACTAAAGGCCTAAACTCAAAAGGCTTTCCAACTTTTGAAGCATCTAAGTTACATTACAAAGCTGATTTGTGAAAGGAGCAGAAGAAACCCATCTCCCACACATGGTTTGATGTCGGTGCTTTTAAAAAAGGACAGAAGACAAAGAAAAACAAACCCCAAAAAACCCACAATCCGTTTTGTGGTTGTTGCTATTAGTAAAGTCAGGACTCCCAGGACATACTTGGCTCGTTTAGGATGAAAGCCTTTTGCATCAAAACATACGGGATTTACATTTGTAGTCCCGGACAGAAATAGGAAGCTGATTGAGGATGAAGGCACACAGGCATCGAAGTCTCACACCTGGCTGCCAGAGATCAGAATGGATCAGAACAAAGAGTTGCACGGATCCAAGTAGCCAAGAAGTGCTGCACAATGGCAAAAAGGGAAGCACGATGACACTGTCGATGCCACAGCCTGACAGCACTTCATTTGCTCTGTTACCTTACATTACAGCACTTATTTCTCTTGTGCTTAAGGATTTCTAAAGCATCAGCTCAATAGTAAGTTATCATTCAGTGCCGTCACAGCCTTCAGAAGTCCCACAACGCCAAGAGCTGTAGTTACACACCATAAAAAGCTAGTCACATCCCAAAGAATTCTCATTTTAAAAGTGTGAGCCCTTTGGTGGATCCCATTCTTTACAAGCTGGGAGAAACCACCAGGTCAACAATACATGCACAGTTACACTTGACAAGTTTGTAGGTAATTATTACTAATGGTTATTTGGCACTTAAATGAGTTCCTCCCCGTCCTGTAAAATGTGACAAGCAAGACAGCCACATTGGGGTAATATTTAGGGTTAAAATAGGTCGCATTTGACAACGCCAGTCTTGCAACAACTGGTGCTCACAGGCTGTTAACAAATCAAACACCACAGCCAAAAGGCCTATTGTGTCCAGTTCTGGGCCCCTCAGTTCCAGAAGGACAGGGAACTGCTGGGAAGAGTCCAGCGCAGAGCCACGAAGGTGATGGAGTAGGTGGAACATCTCCCTCATGAGGGTCTCTTGAGCTTGGAGAAGAGGAGACTGAGGGGTGACCTCATCAATGGTTATAAATACGTAAAGGGCGAGTGTCAGGAGGATGGAGCTGGGCTGTTCTTGGTGATGGCCAGTGACAGGACAAGGGGCAATGGGTGCAAGCTGGAGCACAGGAGGTTCCACATGAACATAAGGAAAATCTTCCTTACTCTGAAGGTGGCAGAGCCCTGGAACAGGCTGCCCAGAGAGGTGGCGGAGTCTCCTTCTCTGGAGACATTCAAAACCCACCTGAACGCGTTCCTGTGTGACCTGCTCTGGGTGGTCCTGCTCTGGCAGGGGGGTTGGCCTGGGTGATCTTTCCAGGTCCCTTCCAACCCCTGACATTCTGTGATTCTGTAACTCTGTGATTTATTTTTACAAAGAAAAGATTGAAAAAGAGCAAGTGACCAGACAACACTGCTGTGTTCAAAGTATGAACCTCCCCATTTATCATCAAACAGCTTTTATGGCACCCATTACAGCCCATCTTCCAACACATGCATGTAACATGCCTATCTGCACCAGAGCTGTTAAAGGAAAAAAATACCTCTTAGCCTGCAAAACCCTTGGTTTTACACATCACAGTTTGCCATAGGAACTAGACCAGGTTTTCCAAGGAAGCCCCATTGACTTTTAGGAGCAGAACTAACCGATAGCAGCCCCAGAGAAGCCGCAAAAAGATGCAATGGAAAGAAGAGGGGGGTGTGTGGGGGGTGTGTGTGTGTGTGTGGTGAAGAAGAAAAAGGTGTCAAGACTTCAATTAAAGGTCTTAAAAAACTAAAACCAGGCTGCAAAATGGATATTCAAACTCGGAAAAATGGGACACGGCCCTGGGATGCTGCTCACTCCTGCCAGAGAGGGTTTTAAAACCCTTGTCTAGTTCTGGAGGGCCTCATTTCTTCATAGTGCTCAAATTCAGACACAAAAATAACCCCGACTCTCTCCCTTAAGCTGTTTCAAGTTGAGGATCTCAAATTACAAGTAATTTTTAAGAACTCCTAAACCCACAGCAGTAGCCTTATTGTTCTACCCTAGCCACATTGGTCTCATTTCTGGGGAACAAATCTGCACGCCCCGCTGGGCTATCTTTAGCCCAAAGGATGTCTGTGTTGAAAAAAAGCAAGACAGCACGTTACTGATTTCACACACCCCCCCCCCGGCCCTTATAACCCACAACGGAGCCAGTAAGAAATCAGGGACCCATAATCAGCACAACTTCCCCAATCCCTACTTTCTCAACACATTATGAGTTTTAAAATCATTGGAGAGATTAGGTTTGGACTTATTTTTTCATTTCCATGGACAGCAGATAAAATCTAAAGAAAACATTAAAGAAAAACAAAACAAAACCTTTTTTGTTTGTTTGGTTGGTTTTTTTAATTAGAGTCTCAGTCATCATCAAAACTTTTTGGGATGCACAAAAACTTTTTTTTTTTTCCCCCCAAATGCGAATGTCAGAAGTTGCCCACCAGAAGCCTCCCCTCCTCACCACGCCTCCCGCCAGGCCCGGAGGCCAGCAGCATATCGTATCTCTGTTTACAGCGCTACGCTCAGCAGAAAGAAACACGAGCTGAGCAGCAAAAATAGATCAATTCAGCTTTAAAAAAAAAAAAAAAAAGGCAGATCCACTAACTTCAAGGACTTCCTTCTTCTAAATCTTGAAGTGGGACTGGCGCCTCTTCAGACCAACTGCTAATGTCTCATTAGCAAAGTTTTGGGCAAGGTACCTTTCCTCCAGCCTGGACCCTGTGCTGATTAACGAAGTCACTCCTGGAGCACCCTCGCTAGAACAGGTACATGATGCTGCTCCGCTTACAAGCGACCAGGGCCAACTGGCAAAGAAAATTACGGTCTATGCAACGGACAGCATGGCTAAACCATCCTGAGAGCTCCAAGAAAAAAGACATGTAGAATCTAAAGAAAAAAAAAATAACCATTAACTCAGTGCTTTCTGATACAGGACTGCAACATCAACACATTGGGACCTGACAGAAATATGACCCGGAGCATCTTCAGCGAGAGACGAGTATGTCAGGTGGAGGCGCGCTCAAGGAGGAGGAAGCCTGCAACATTTGCAGAGTTGTCACAGTACTTACTCAAGTTGTAGGAAAATTACATCCTTGTGTCCTTCTCTCCCTTACCTTTAACTCCTGCAAACTTCAGCTGACGACACCACACACGGAAGCTGTGCAGAATCATTGAACTTATTTTGTCTGCAAATACACCTACCAATTTGGTTACTTTATTATTAAACTCCCACTGACTGCAGATTAAAGCATGACAATTTGGCTGCTAGTAAAAGCAGCACGCTTCTCCCCAGAGAAAACAAGTATTGATTTAATAAGAGTACATACAGCAATTTTTACACAGCAATCTAGCATAAGCGACTTTGCCATCAGAGAAGCAAAATTTGATGATCCGCATCCATTTGAGAGAGGGTGCAAATCTTTGCTTTCTAAATGACTAATACGTCATCTGTTCCGATGCCTCAGCTAAAACAGATCGCCATATCCTTCCAGATCACCATATCCTTCCAAACGACAGTTTACTGAGCTCAGGTTTTGACTATAGCCAGGATTTAGTCCAAAAAGACACAACATAATCAAGAGCGTCCAACTTCCCCGAGGGAGTCATTTCACATTTCAATCAGAAAAGGTGTGAAAAATACCACCTTATTTTTAATTTCTCTGCATTTATTATCCACTGCTAATTGGCTTCAGCACTCCCCGTCTTGCACGCAGAGAACAGGACTGTGAAACACCCAGTGAAACAGCAGGAGGATCAGGGAAGAGGAAAGGGACAGGGAAAGAATAGCAGCTTCTTCCCACACTCCTGATACACAAATGGCTCTAGCAACACAAAATCCAGGTCCATTAGCAGGACATACCGGCCAGTTTTAAGAATACCGAGAACCTGCCCCTGCAAACTGGTTCCCAAAGGAAGCGGCAGGTGCACAGACAGGGCAGAGAAATCAGGCCACCGGCTTTCACGCACTGCACACGTATGTACAGAAACGGGGCTCGATCACATCCATGTGCCAGAGCAAATCAGCCACCAGAGGAATCCTGCTCCTTCCAGGAGCGTTTCGGGCTGCAGGTCTTTCCAGGCCAAGGTCAGAGCTATGGGTGGATCTGCTTAGAAGCTTCTCATGCAACAACCGCTGTGTATCTGCATGTCTGGAAATGGCAGGGATGCCTTCAGTGGTCTGTACCTAGACCTGGAGAGATTTCCTCTGAAGACTCGTGCATAAGAGATGATTTTGGAGCTTTGGTCTATCCCTCACCTCCCAAGTCCCTCACACGTTTATCACTAACTGCTCATGCACCACACATGCTGCTAAAGAAAACAGCACTTGCCCAAAACCACTGCATTGCAAAAAGAGGTTAACAGTAACACTACATCATCATTTTAAGGTTAGGGGTTAAGGTGCAGAAGTAGGTTATCAGCTACGACACTCAAGCATTTTGAAGCACTTGAGACCTTTTTCTTGGCAATTGTGGCAAATACTTCAGATTCACGTTGAAAGTG